GTGATCTGTAAGTTTTCCCCTTTAAATAAATAACACCCTATTAATCATAACTCCAAACTGGTGTGGCCTTGTTCGTGACTTACGCCTTCACATAGTAACAAAGAAGGAAGTAGTATCCGCACAGAACCTACGTCGGATCAGTGGAGCTGAACAGGGGACCTAGATTTAAGGCCACACATGTTCATCCACCTCATTTCTCCTTTTGAGACTGAGTTTCTCTATGTATATCACTGGCTAGCCCGAAGCCCACTATGTAGATCAGGTTGGCTTCAAACACAGAGATCTACCTACCTCTCCTTCCCAAGTTTGCCACAGTCAGTGATCCACCTGACTTTTGAGAGAGATGTTAAAGCCAAACAAACAAAACCCCCCCAAAAAAAACAACAGCAACAAACCCCACTGTTAAAAAAAAAAAAAAAAACCAGCCCCTTCAACAAATGTTGGAGAAGTGGTGCCAACATGGAGAAGAATGAAAATGGACCCTCATTGCTCACCCTCCGCAAAAAGCAACTCCAGACGGATCAGGGGCCTTAATATAAAACTTGCAAACACTGACGCTGGCAAAAGAGAAGGTGGGAGGCGTATTGCAGCCACAGGACAGATAAGGAGTTTCTAAGTTAGACTCCAGCCGCTCAAGAAATAGGACAACAATCAGCAAGTGGGCTCTCATGAAATTAAAACACTTCTGTAAAGCTAAGGAAACTGTCAACCAAGTGGAAAGGCGGTCTACAAAATGGGGAAAATCTTTGCCAGCTACATATCTGACAGAGAACTATATCCAGAATACACAGAGAAGCTAAAACTAAACACTCCTTAAAAACAGGACCACAGATCTAAATAGCGAGTTCTCAAAGGAATACAAACGGCTAGTCAAGACTTTAAAGTGGTTCACATCACTCATCTAGAAAGGGAAAACTAAAATTACTTTTAGCTAACATCTTACCCTAGTCACAATGGCTATTGAAAACCCAAAGTGATGGCAAGGTGGTTATTAAGTTAAGAATGTTTGTTGCCAATCCTAATGTGCTTCCCATGGTCCACATGGTGGGAGGAGAAAACCAACTGCAGTAAATTATCCTCTGACCTCCAGAAGTACACGGTGGCACGTATACTTAAACGCACTGCGTGTACGGGGGAGGGGGTAAGTAAATGTAGAAGAAAATAAAAGGGCAACAATGGTGGCAAGAATGTGGGGGAATGGGCAATTCTCTCTGTTGACAGTCTTATATGTGGATCCTAACTTCAAAACCTCCAGACTTCCACGTTCCAGTTGGAGTGAAAACTTGCACAGCCCAGGTAGCAAGAGCAGTCCATTAGAGGTGGATAAAAAAGTGAGTTTTTCATGTGGGTGGGAAGAGCAAAAACCATCTGCTATGAAGTCGAGGGAGCAATATCAGGGGTTGAAAATTGAGATGGGATGAGGGTACAGAGATTGGGGAAAGGGAAGGCTGGAGAAAGGGCCAACCCAAACCTGCACAGGACTACAAAGACTATATAACCAAATCCAAACAGCATGCTACATGCATTAAAACACAGAATGTCTGTTTATTTAAACTATGTGGTGTGTATATTACACAGAACAATGAAACCGAGTTCTTACATCCGAGTTACAGTCAACTGATTTTTGACAAAGACAGTGTGCTGGCTAGTCTTATGTCAGCTTAACACAAGCTAGAGTTATCTTTCAGGAGGGAAACTCAACTGAGAAAATGCCCTATAACATTGGGCTGCTGGTCATTTTCTTAATTAGTGACTGACACCAGCCAGGTGGTGGTGATGCACTCCTTTAATCCCAGTTCTTAGGAGGCAGAGGCAGGTGGATCTCTGAGTTTGAGGCCATCCTGGTTTACTGTCCCGGAACTGGAGTGAGTTCCGGGACAGCTGGGCTACACAGAAACTCCTTGTCTTGAAAAACAAAGGCAAAAGATAAACAAAAACTTAGTGATTGATGGAGAAGAGGCCAGAACACTGTATATGGTGCCATCTCTGGGCTGGTGGTCCTGGGCTCTATAAGAAGGTAAACTGAGCAAGTCATGAGAAGCGAGCCTCCATGGCCTGTTGTAGAATCAACCCTAGCACATACCTTTAATCCAAGAGCTTTCTGCTTGAATATTGTAAACAAGATTAAATAAAGTCAACCATAGGTCAAGAGGCAGAGCAACCAATCAGTTGGCAGAAAGTGAACATAGGATGATTAAGAAAAAACCATATAGAGTAAGGGGAAGAGACACTGAGTTTGAGGAGACTTGTTTGAAATGGCAGGAGAGAGGAGAGGCTTTGGGGAGAGGAAGGTCAGCTGGGTACTTTCTCTGTTTCTCTGAGCTAGCAGGCTTTCACTCCAGCATCTGGTTCCCAAGTCTTTATTGGTAAAATTGAACAATGGCCTCTGTATCAGCTCCTGCCTCCAGGTTCCTGCCTGTCTGAGTTCCTGTACCAACTTCCTTTGATGATGAACAACATAGAAGTATTAAGCCAAATAAACCTTTTTCTCTCCAATTTGGTTTTTGGTCATAATGTTTTGTCTTCAGCAACAGATAACCTACTAGGACAGAAGTTAGAACCAGGAGTGGGGTGTTGCTGTGACAGACCTGACCTTGTTTTGGGGAGGATTGTGGAAGGACTTTGAACTTTGGGCTAGAAAAGCCATTGAGTGGTCAGAACAATGCAGACAATGGAGGCCTGCCTTATGATGTTTCAGAGGGAAAATTCAATACTCTATCATGGGCTTTTTCTATTTTGAATTAAAATTCAGTCACTCTGGTCAGCTGTGATTAACAAGAGACCAGCACAACTGAAGTGGAACCTTTACTTTACTGTGACAACTGATGTTGGTTAGCTGGAGCTAAGAAATTAGTGGGGATTTAGAAAAGACCAGCATCAATTGTTGAGCAAAAATCTTCTGAGAAGCGTTTCCTCAGAGTCACCACACAGAAGCTGTGTGTCAGAGGTGACCAAGGTTGTACCTCATACTGGACGCCAAACTTTGGTATTGTTAAGAATAACCAAGGTAGTGCTGGTTTTAAAGAAATGAAGTTGAGAGTTGGCACTGTAAGAGGCCAGGAGAAGTCATTGGTGATGATGTAGCCTCAGTGGAAGTTGAAAGCCCAGGACGGAAGGGGTCATGCAGAGAAGTTGAGGCAGGGAGAAAGCTTATGAAGGATATTGGTGAAAGTGCAACCCAGTTACAGAAGACCCCAGCATTTTGGTGATGTGGGATTCCTCTCTGTATGCTGTGAATATATTTTATTACCATTGGTTAGCAAATCTACTTTGGCCTACAGCAAGGCAGAATATAGTAAGGTGCGAAATCCAAGCGAAGACTGAAGATCAAGGAGGAAAAAAGAAAAAAGGTGGAGTCAGGCAGAAGCCATGTAGCTCCCGAAAAAGAAGGAGGACACCAGANAGAGAGAGAGAGAGAGAGAGAGAGAGAGAGAGAGAATAGACAGAGTCAAGGAGATGCCATGTGGCTGCCGAAGGACACAGACACTGGAATCTGACTGGTAGACCACAGCCTTCTGGTGATACACAGATTAATAGAAATGGGTTAACTTAAGATGTAAGAGCTACCTTGATTAATGGAGGAGGGCCTGCCCATTGTGGGTGGTGTCACCTCTAGGCTGGTGGTCCTGGGTTCTATAAGAAAACAGACTAAGCAAGCCATGATGAACAAGCCAGTAAGCAGCACCCCTCCATGGCCTCTGCATCAGCTCCTGCCTCCAGGTTCCTGCCCTGTTTGAGTTTCTGTCTCAGCTTCTTTGATGATAAACGGCAATATGAAAATGTTAAGCCAAATAAACCCTTTCCTCCCCAATTTACTTTTTAGTCATGGTGTTTTGTCACAGCCATAGAACCCTAAATTATATATACAGTAAAAATACACAGTGGAGAAAAGACAGTATTTTCAAGAAATTGTGCTCAAGAAATTGGATATTCATACAGAGAATAAAGAAACTGGACTTCAGTGTCTTCTATACAAAAATCAACTTAAAATGGGTCAAAATGCAAGGTCTGAAATTAAAAGGGGGAAAAAAAAAACAGAAGAAATATTGCAGGACCTGGGCTTGAGAGATTGCTCAGAGGTTAAGAACACTGGCTGTTCTTCCAGAGGACCTGAGTTCAATTCCCAGCAACCACATGATGGCTCATAACCATCTGTGATGAGGTCTGATGCCCTCTTCTGGCATAGAGGTGCACATGCAAAAGGAACATTGTATACATAATAAATCTTTAAAAAATATTGCAGGACCCTAGTCTGAGAAAAATATTGTGTTTTGTTTTTGAGACAGGGTCACATTATATAACCCTGGATGGCCTAGAACTCCCTGTGTAGACCAGACTGGACTCTAAATCACAGAGATCATTTGCCTCTGCCTCCTGAGTGCTGGGGTTAAAGGTATGAGCCACTACAATTGGCCTTGGACAAAAAATTTTAAATATACAGGCATATCTGTGTTACTTATATGAATTCCAAGACAGAGAATTTGAAAGACTAAACTAAAATCAAAGAGCAAATCACTCATATAGTTTAAGATGTTAACCTTGTGAATTATAAAAGTTTAAATTTTATGATTACCTTCTAATTGCTTTGGGGTTTGAGAAAAGACACACAGAGAGAGAATGTCATGAGAGACTGAGCCCACGGTCTTGCACATACCAGGTAAGCTGTTTACCACTGCCCCACACCACCAGTCCTGCCTTGCAGTCCGTAACACTCATTGACTAGTAATTTGACAAAAGTGAATGAAAGAGGCTGAAGAAACTATAATTAATGCATAATTTGTAAATCAAATCCACAGGTATTTTCTTTGTGTGTGAAACACATGCCAGGTTAACAACAAAAATGGTTTCCCCTTAAGATTTAGGGTTTAAAAAATAATTCAGTTGCCAGTGTCCACAGCTATCCACAGGAAATGCCCCTCAGGAAAGCACCAGTCTATGGTTTAAGATGCTCTCTGTCCACCTGACGCTGTGCTACAAACTCTGTGCGGGCGCAGCCCTACCTGCAATCTATTCACTTTCTGGGCTTCTTTCAAAGACACCGCGTGCCCTTTGTTCTCCTGCGCCATCAGCTGCACCTGATTCCTTAGCTCCTCCATCTCCAGCTCCTTCTGAGTGAGCAGCACTTGGTCAGCAGCCAGGGCACACTGGGAGGGAAGGAAGACAGAGCTCAGAATTACTCAGAGAACTACATGATGATATAATCTGAGAAAGACATACATAGAGGGGCCATCACTGTGACGCCATGAAAATATGATTTTCTTGATAATTTTTTCATCTGTATAAAAATTAGTTATCTAGGGTCTAGAGTACAATTGTAACTTTGCTAAACTTGTCATGAGACTTTAATGTGGGTTTTAATAATCAAAGCTCTCATCTTCCTATAAGACCTATAAGATATAAAAACTCATTTGGGCATTTAAATAGTTTCCTTGTGCATTTTTAATACATTCACTAGTAAGAGACAGATTCTAAAGTCCAGAAATAAAATGTAATGTCTTTATTTCTTGTTTCTGACTAATTTTGTTAGGTTCAGCATAAACTTAAGATACAGAGTAAAGAGTTTTTAAAACTAAATAAGCACAAAGAATCTGTCAGGCAGACTGATAGGTATTAAGTGTGGCTGTGCCTTTAAGGTCTTGTACAAAGGCTGAGGGAAAGCACGGTAAATGTGAATGGTACCATTCCATGGGGACAAAAATGAGCTGGAATACCAGCGTTTACCTGTCTTCTTCCTGACACGGGGGCCTTATGCTCCAGCCATCATGGAGCTCTGTCATCAAGGACTGGGCCCTCAAAACTGTGATCCAAAAATGAGTCCTCCTCTCTGTAGGCTGCTCTCGTGAGGGATTTTTCCCAGCAACAAGAAAAGTAACTGACAGAAAAAAATTGCTCCTAAGAAGTAGGGCAATTGTTGTGATGAAGCTCATCACATGACCTGGTTTGCCGGAGGACTATGAAAGTTTGGAAAGTTAATGTAGAAAACCCTCGAATGCTACACTTGGAGCTTAGCGGGTCATTCCGGCAGCAGTTTGGTTGACCGGAACACCAGAAGAAATGTGGAGCGTGAAGACTCAGTTCATGAGGCTTCAGAGGGAAACCGGGACTCTAATGGGAACTGTTACAGGCTGACAGAGCCTGTCCATGAGAACTTGAGCGAGGCTGAATTCAAAGCATTCTGGACTAATTTGTTTAGTGAAGAAAACTTCAAACAAGAAAGCATTCAGGTTACAGCATAGTAACTTCTCAATGCTCTTACCTAGATCTACACAGCGAAAGAGAAAGCTACAAGCAGAGCATACACTGTCGGCAAAATGTACTGCTTGCCAGGGAAAGAAACGGGTAGAAAGGTGGCTAAAAAGACAGCTGTAATTGTTAATGAAATTAGAACTGTTAAAAAACAAACAAACAAAAAAAAAAAAAAACAGTGCTTTGCACTAGGGCAAGAGGAAATGTGCCCTGATGGCCAGATTCTACCTAAGAAAGGCTCCATCTTGTGAGAATGAAAATTCATCTGAAAGAAGAGAGACCAAGCTGCTGCTGTTGTTGAAGGGGTTCCCTTCCAGGAACAGCTGCCTAGGACAGCATTTCATCCAAAGGTGAACACAGCTGCAGCACCACCTGGCAGCACTATCCAGGAGATAACTGCCTTTGTAGGCGTGACAGAGCAAAAGTGGAAGGTCATGGAGGCTTGTACCAAGTTTGTAGAAAGCCACTGAGACTAGCCAATGTACTGTGATGTAGAATTGCCTGCAAGGAATCCCTGAGGGTCAACAGGTAAAGCTGCGAGGGCAATGCCTACACTGTAATGAAACCTCAGAACATTGGAGATGCCAGGGCCATGGGACACTGATTAAGGAAATCTAAAGACATGCAGTAAGACAAGCTTACTGAGAGAGAGGCTATCTGTACAAAAGCAGCAGAGCTGGAGAGGTGTGGCAACCCAAGCCCTTTGTAGCCCAGATGATATATCACAAGCCCCAGATGCTGGACATGAAGTTGCAAGATGTGGTGTTTTCCTTGCTGGGTTTTAATCCTGCTTTGGTCCCATTTCCTTGCTAGGATCTGTTTCTGTAATGCATATGTTTATTTGGTGCCATTGCCCACTGAAATTGTAGGGGTCCAAAGTTAAGAAACCTGAGTCTCAGAGGATACTTTAGACTTCTGAGCAATCTTTAGACTATGGGGATGTTTAGAGATTAAGTAAATATATTTTGTATTGAGATGAAAATGAGACCAAGAAACAGGGATGGAATGTTACGACCAAAAATAATGGATGTCAAGTTGATAAGGGATGGAATTGTAATGGCTGATCTTCATTGTCAACTTTCTAACTTCTGAAATTCCAAAGCAACTTTTGAAATTTACTTGTCCCAATAAATGCAGTCCTTAAATAAGTGCTGTCTGATTCAAGTGTAAGAGCTCACATTCATAGCCAGCACTTAGGAAGCAGAGGCAGGAGCACTACCTAGGGCTCAAGACTAGCCTGGATAATCGATTAAGACCTTATTTCAAAGAAGATAAAATAGATCTGGGAATGTATCTCGGAAAGGAAAGTACTTTCCTAGCATATGCAAGGCTGTGTGTTCAGTCCCCATTACCACCGGAGTGGGGAGGGGCGTTCTATTAGTCTGCTAGGAACTCACACTCCTAAAAATCCCAGAACACAAGAAACAAAGGAAAGAGTTCAGGTACACACTGAGGTCCAGCCAGGGTTACATGGCAAGATGCTGTCTCAAAAAATATACTAATTAAAGTAATGTCTAAGTACCTGGTACTTCTTAAGTTCTCTCTTCAGCTGGAGAACTGTCACATGCTGGGGTCCTTCCTCCGTGTCCCCAACGCCCTGGTGTCCTGGAAATGGGGTGATGACAGCCTTCCTGACTTTCTGAGTCCTGCTAAACCACTCCTGGAGTTTGTGCTGCTGCTTCTGGTTTAGCCTGACTGCATCTTTTAAGTCCACCAGGAATGCAAATGCTTGCTCTACACAGTCCTGGTAGCCCAGACACTCCTCCTGGAGCTGGGTTACCTGCTCCTCTAGAGAGTGAAGCCGGTTTGGGTCGGGAATGCCCTCTGACGGGGTCTGGCTGGTCTGGCTGATACTGGCCTGATGGCTCTGCAAAGCTTCTCGAAGCAACTTAATCTCAAATTCCATCTCATCCATTCGGTCTGACTCGGGGCTAAAGTTTAAGGTAGGTTTGTTTCGAATGTTGCGAGCTCTGTTGGCATATTTGAGAGAATTTAAGGACTCGTCAAAATCTGAGGAGGATGGGCTGACACACGTGATCATGACAGTCTTGGCACTGCCTCCCAGGGAGTCTTTGAGAAGCCGGGTAATTTTAGCATCCCTATAAGGAATATGAGCATTCTTCCTGCGTGGGTCCCCAAGGGCACTGATGACGTTCCCTAAAGCAAGCAGTCCACTGTTGATCTGAATTGACTCTTTGAATCGTTCACCAGTGTTGCCCGTCTTGGTCACTCTTTCTGATCCAGCCAAATCCACAAAATGGAATTTGGAGACAATATGCCGATGTGAATACCATTCTCCATCTTCAGCTGTCTCTGGAGTTTTCTCAACTTGGCAAATGCTTATGGTAAAGATTGCATGGGATCTACTGGAGTGCTCATTCATCTGGGTGGTGCTCGTGTGCCTGGCAGCATTTCCCATCTCCAGGAGACTCATCACTTCATCCATGCTCTCTACTTGGCACTCCTTGGCCCCAACAATCACTTCAAACAGAAAGTTTTAAAACCATGCTTTCATCAAAATCCAGTACAATTAAATCAATCGCAAACAGTTACCCTTTGCTAAGCAACCCTGAAAGATTGTCCCTTTAAAAAAGCACTAATGTTTCAAATAGCATGTTTCCAGTGGTTCAAACACTAGCACCAGTCAGTTTCATTCGTTTCAGCAAAACTCCAAAAGAAACAGTTTTAAGAAATGGTATTATGCTTAAACTCTCAAAGGCGTATTTTATTGGTTAAAATCCAGTTGTTACTTTTAGACAAATATCATACTTAATTGTTTAAAATGACTGGCAATCAAAATCCCTGGAGCTGGACTAATACAGCTCAGCAGGAGAGAATGTGCAAAATATGAGGCCCTGGCTTCAAGAACAAACAAACAGAGACAAGGAACACTTTGCTTCAATATTTTGATTGTAATTACTACAAGAAAACAGGAGCCATGCCTGGTGGCAGAAACCTGTGACCCCATCTATTCATGAGGTTGAGGCAAAAGGATTAAAGTTCAAAGCCAGCATAGGTGTTAGATGGCTCCATCCCAAATCAGAAGGCTGGTGGCACAGCACTGTCCTAGCTGGATAACTTCCAGCACAGCAAAGCAAGTACATGAACAGAAAGCAAAAGCAAATTCACTGTGCATATATTGTCTTAATTCTTGGAATATCGATGTGTTTTTCTAGATGCCACTGAAGGAACTCAATAATTGCACTGAGCTATGTCACCTGTGTTTCCCTTGTCATCTTCCCGGATGTGCAGCTCCTTCATGGATGTCTCCAGCTCTAGGAGATCTCTTAGGTCTTCCTTATACACCTCTATGTATGACACTTTGACTTTAAAGTCCACGCCAGGGTTTTCAGAGAGGCTCTGAAATATCTCCTGGATAGCTCGAGGGATGATGCCCTTTTGACCCTCCACAACTGATGCTAAAAATTCAGAAATAGAAAGCATAGCTGAGACTTGAAATATAAGAAAACTAGAATCTAAAATTTATGTTTAATATATTTTTCTTACATTTCTTTTATAAGAATTTAAAAACTGGGCAGGCATGGTAGCTCACACCTTTAATCCCAGCACTCCAGAGGCAGAGACAGCCTGGCTGGCCTACATACAGAGTTCCAGTCAGGATTACATAGCAAGACACGGTCTCAAAATGTATAGTAATTAATTGAATTAATGAACACAAGGACAGCTTGGTCTATATAGAAAGTTAAAAGCCTGCCAGGGCTAAACCACACAACCATAACATTCAGGGGGGAAAGGCCGGGGCATGATTCATCAGGTAAGAGCACTTGCTGCTCAGGCACAGCACCTGAGCTGAGAGCTCCAGCACCCATGTAGAGAGTCAGGCATGGCACAAGTGTGTTTGTAACTCCAGCAGGCAGAGATAGGAGGATCACTGGAGTTTGGTGATCACCAGCCTAACTCCAGGTTCAGTGAAAGACCTGTATCAAGGGAATAGAGTTGTATACTATACAACATGTGTGTATACATACCATGCACATATGCCTATATAAAACAATTCAGGGCAAACATTTTCACATGTACCCCTCATGCAGAATTTATTCATTTATCAAATATGCATTTAGTATCTACTACATATCATGCAATACTCTAGGGCCCTGGAAACAACCAATCAACAAAGTGAAAATTCTCTAATGTTGTGGGATTCCCCTGAGAAGAAAGAAGCAGTAGCAACAAAGACCAACTGTAGACTCTATGGTATATGAAATGTAGACCCTATGGTATATGAAATGTAGACCCTATGGTATATCACACTCCAAAGAACACATCAAAAAATCATCCACCATGATCAAGGAGGCTTCATCCCAGGGATGTAGTGATGGTTCAACATACAAAAATCTGTCAATATAATCCACCACATAAACAAACTAAAAAGAAAACAAAAACACATGATCATCTCATTAGATGCTGAAAAAGCCTTCAACTAAATCCACCACCCATTCATGATAAAGGTCTTAGAGAAATTAGGGATACTAGGAACATTCCTAAACATAATAAAGGCAATTTACAGCAAGCCGACACCCAACATCAAATTAAATAGAGGAACTCCAAGTGATTCCACTAAAATCAGGAATGAGACAGGGCTATCTGCTCTCTCCATACTGATTCAATATAGTACTTGAAATTCTAGATAGAGCAATAAGGCAATAAAAGGAGATCGAGGGGATACAAATTAGGAAGAAGTCAAGCTTTCACTATTTGCAGATGATTTGATAGTATACGTAAGTGACCCCAAAAATTCTACCAGGGAACTCCTACAACTGATAAACACCTTCAGTAATGTGGCTGGATACAAGATTAACTAAAAAAAATCAGTAGCTCTCCATATACAATAATAAATGAGCTAAGAAAGAAACCAGAGAAACAACATTCTTTACAATAGCCACAAATAACATAAAATATCTTGGGGTAACTCTAACCAAACAAGTAGAAGACCTGTATTACAAGAACTTTAAATCTTTGAAGAAAGAAATTGAAGAAGACACCAGAAAATAAAAAGATCTTCCATGCACATGGATCATTATGATTAACATAGTAAAAATGGCAATCTTACCAAAAGAGATCTACAGATTTGATGAAATCCCCATCAAAATTCAAATACATTTCTTCACAGACCTTGAAGGAACAATACTTAACTTCATATGGAAAAACAAAAAACACAGGATAGCTAACACAATTCTGTACAATAAAAGAACTTCTGGAGGCATCGCCATCCCTGACTTAGAGCTCTACTACAGAGTTACAGTAATAAAAACAGACAGGTGGATCAATGGACTCAAAATGAAGACTCTAATGTAAATCCACATATTTATAACCACCTGATTTTTTACAAAGTCAAAATTATACAATGGAAAAAAGAAAGCACCTTCAACAAATGGTGCTGGGTGTCAGCATGTAGAAGGGCAAATAGACCATGTCTGTCGCCCGCACAAAATTCCAGCCCAAGTGGATCAAAGACCTCAACATAAACCCAGTCATACTGAAGCTGACATAGACCATGTCTGTCGCCCGCACAAAATTCCAGCCCAAGTGGATCAAAGACCTCACCATAAACCCAGTCATACTGAAGCTGACATAAACCCATGTCTATCGCCCCGCACAAAATTCCAGCCCAAGTGGATCAAAGACCTCAACATAAACCCAGTCATACTGAAGCTGACAGAAGAGAAAGTGGGAAGCAGCCTTGGATGCACTGGCACAGGAGAGCACTTCCTGAAGAGAACCCCAGCAGCACAGACACGCAGACCGACAATTAATAAATGGGACCTCCTGAAACGGAAAAGACAGAACAGCAGCTTTCGGAATGGGAAAAGATCTTCACCAACTCCCCACCTGGCAGCAGAGAACTGATCGTCAAGAAATTAGACATCAAAATACCAAATAATCAGGCTGGAGAGATGACTCAATGGTTAAGAGCACTGACTGTTCTTCCAGAGAACCTGGGTTCAATTCCCGGCACCCACACGGCAGCTTACAACTGTCTGCAACCCCAGTTCCAGGGAATCTGATACCTTCACGCCAATGCACACAATATAAAGCTAAATAAATTGTTAAAAAAGAAAAACAAATGATCCAATTTTTAAATGGAGTACAGATTTAAACAGAATTCTCAACAGTAGAATCTCAAATGACCGAGAAACATAAAAATTGTTCATCCTTAGCTATCAGGGAAATGCAAATCAAAACAATGCCGAGATACCATCTTATACTTGTCAAAATGACTAAGATCAAAAATGCTAAGAACAGCCTATACTGGAGAGGATGCGGAGTAAGGGGAACACTCCTCCACTGCTGGTGGGAGGGTAAACTTATATAGCCACTTTGGAAATCAGTATGGCAGTTTCTCAGAAAATTGGGAATAAACCTACCTCAAGACCCAGCTATATGAATCTTGGGCACACACCCAAAGGATGCTCAATCATACCACAAGAACACTTGCTCAGCAGTGTTCACAGCTATACGAATCCTGGGCACACACCCAAAGGATGCTCGATCATACCTCAAGAACACTTGCTCAGCTGTGTTCACAGCAGCATTATTTCTGATATCTAGTACCTGGAAACAACCTAGATGCCCCTCAAATGAAAAATGGATAAAGAAAATGTGATACATTTACACAAAGAAGTATTATTCAGCAGCAAAAACAATGGCATCATGAAATTTGCAGGTAGATGGATGGAACTAGAAAAAAACAACCTGAGTGAGGTAAACCAGACTCGGAAGGACAAACACGGTATGTACTCATAAGCTCCACTTTATTAGCTGTAAAGCAAAGGATAACCAGGCAACAATCCACAGCCCAGGGATGCGAGGTAACACAGAGGACCCTAAGAGGGGTGCATGAATTTCCCTAGGAAGGGGAACTAGATGAGATCTCCTGGGTAAGCTAGGGGTAGGGGGTGAGGGATGTGGAGAGGATGTGGGAAGGTGAATATGAGGGATCGGGTTGGTTGAAACAGAGAGGAAGAGTAATGAAACAGGTATCTTGATAAAGTGGGCCATTTGGGAGTTAGAGAGAAACCTGGTGCCAGGGAAACTCCCAGGAATCCACAAGGATGACCCCAGCTGAGACTCCTAGCAATAGCGGGGAGCATGCCTGAACTGGCCTTCTCCAGTAATCAGATTGGTGACTACCCTAATTGTCATCAGAGAGCCTTCATTCAGTAACTGATGGAAGCAGATGCAGAGATCCACAGCCAAGCACTGGGCCAAACTCCTGGAGTCCAGTTGATGAGAGAGAGAAGGGACTGTATGAACAAGAGGGGGAGGGAGGTCAAGATCATGATGGGGGAACCCACAGAGGCAGCTGACCTGTACTCTGGACAAACAGCTAGGGAGCCATCATAGGACAGACCTAGGCCCTCTGCACATGGATGACAGTTACGTAGCTTAGTCTGTTTGTGGGGCCCCTAGCACTGGGATCAGGACCTGTCTCTGGCCCATAAGCTTGCTTTTTGGACCGTATTCTCTATGCAGAGATGCCTGGGAGCTTGGTCCTGCATGAATGTAATATGCCATGCTTTGTTGACTCCCATGGGAGGCCTGCCCCTTTCTGAAAGGAGGAGGAGTAGATAGGAAGTATAGATGGGAGGTGGGGGGAGGGAAGGGAAGAGAAGAGGGAGGAGAAACTGTGGTTGGTATGTAAAATAAATGAAAAATTTAATTAAAAAAGAAAAGAAGGGCTGGAGAGGTCTCAGAGGTTAAGAGCACTGGCTGCTCTTCCAGAAGCCCTGAGTTCAATTCCCAGCAACCATATGGTGACTCATAACCATCTATAATGAGACATGGTGTTCTCTTCTGGCCTGCGGGGATACATGCAGACAGAACACTATATA